CCCTTCCTCCTGGGCTCTGTATCTTCAGAGCCTGTTCTGATCATGCTGTGATATCTGCCTGTTCCTCTTCTCTGTTGGAAATGGGAAAACATGGAAACCACTTATCTTTCACTGAATGAAGTAAAAGAGCTAAAAATGGAGAATAAAAATGGAAGTATACATTAGGTAGCATACTAACAACCACGAAAAGGTACCCAACTCTTAATTAAAAACGGACAGGGAGGGAAGCAAAACAATAACCTAAATGGCCTATTTTTAGAAAAACAGCATCAGAGAAAATAGATATTGTTTACACTCACGTGTGTTTCTAGGGAATAAAATTTATAGGGACATCTCGTCCGATCCTTTCTGCGTAAACAGCTGGGAGCAGAATTTAAGAGGAGCTTGAAAGAAATGTGGAACCATGGCAGGTCCTGAGCCTCCCTGGGATGGCCGCCCATTTCCTCCAAATGATGTTTGACCCATCTAAGTGTAAGGCTCAGCCTTAATGTATTTAAGCTACAATGACGACAGAATGAGAGAAAGAGCAGGCAGGCAGCTCATTGGCAGAACACTCAGATGTCTCAAGCTCACTCTGCAAAATCACCTCTGTCTTAGATGAAAAAGCCAAAAAGCCACTCTGTTAAAGAGGAGTGTGGGGCTGTAAGAGACTCAAAATGTGCTCTTGATCCATTGCCATCATTCTAAACCCTTCCCACTGCTGCACAACAGAGGAGCCCAATCCCAGGAAATGTTAAATCAAATTTCTGTAACGGAAAAGACAAGATGAAAATGTATTATGAAGGGACAGTAATTAAATCTGAACTAGCTACAGGAATAAACCAGCAGACCAATGAGGTAGACGTCAAGTCCAGGAAGAGACTAAAATGCGTAAAGTAATTTAATATAAAATAAAGGTAGCAGAGTAAACCCGTGGGGGAAATTGATCATGCAATAATTGATATCGAGATAATGGGCTAGTCATTGGGAAAGAAATAAGCTTATTTCCGACCTCATTTCTTAAACTATCCATGTTGGAGATGGATAAAAGATTTCTGTGCGTACTGAATACATTGAAAAACGTTTGTTGTTTTTTTAGAATGTCTGCTGGAACCAAGCATGCCACTAATCAAATAAAGATGCAGAACCATAAAACAGACTCCATTTTTCAAAGCATTTTTATATTAAAATTTTAGATTGCAACAAATTCTGCAATGACTCATTGAAGGAGCATTAATATGGAACTTGGCTTATCAACTGATGAACTCAATCTTCCCATTCAATGTAGGAGCTTCTTTAATTTAACACGTTAGCGGACCAGTGCTTTGGGCTCTATTGAAGCGAAACCACACCCACCTGAAGGACCCAGACATTGGTATTTCTTTGCATTGGGGAAGGGTGGGAGGAGAGTTAAAGTTAAGTTAATGCTGACATTTATTAACTACAAGCGACATTTGTAGAGTATAGCTGCCTCAAGGCTTTTATGATTAATTTTTTTTATCGAACCAACAGATGCAGTTTATGTTGGGAATTTTTAGCGTATCAAATTGATCTTGATAATACATTTTGTCACGTTAACTACGTTCTTCAACAGGCTGATTTTAGAGGCCTTAAAAAATACCTATACACAAACACACATTTTAAAGTAATGAAAATTTCATCCTAAATGCAGGGTGCAGAATTATATCCCAACGCCAGCCATGCATATGACATTTGTATTTTTGTGTTTCCAAAATTACTAATAAGAACTTGGTAATGATTTCTTGGATCGTTTCAAAAGCACATGCAGCAAAAGAAAAAAAATAGACTTCATAAAAATGGAAACTTTTTGTACATCAAAAGATATGATCAGCAGAATAAAAAGTCAAACCACATGCTGGGAGAACTCTTAAAACTCAACAGCAAAAAAAAAAAAAAAACAAATAATAT